ATCAACTGACCACCTGCATCAACTGACCACCTGCATCAACTGACCACTTGCATCAACTGGCCCTCCAAGAATGCAAATAGCCTTGCTTGTTGATAGTGTTTTCTGTTCCTTCCCTCCCTCCCTCCCTTCCTCTCTTTCTCCCTCCCTCCTTCTCTTTTCAGCCATACAAGCCATGGGTGGTCAGGTATGGAATGTGCAAGACCCAGAGGTGACAGAGTGGGTCGCAATTGGCTCACTGGAAAGCCTCAGGCTTCATACACACTGCATCTGCATGCACTCAAGCACAGCACCCTAACCATCAGGAGAGGAAGGGACTGGGCCACCTCTCTCTCTTCCTAAGCCACGCCCCACCCCTGTCTGTTGAAGAAAGGAAAGGAAAAGCAAAGCAGAAATACCAGTGTGCCAGAGGGGTCGAAGCCCTGAGCTCCTCAAACAGATTTCAAGTATTTATGGGGGGAGAGGGGAGAAGGAGGGGGGCAGGATGGCATTTTGGACCTAATGTGGCATATATGACATTGGTCCCATATGAGATATCACCTAGTAACAGCACAGCTGGCTCAGTTTGTGTAAATATACTCATGATAGTCACACAGTGTGGCAGGAATTTCCTGCCCAATATATTTGCAGCAGAGTTCTGTCATTGGACAGGGAAGAGGGAGGCAGAGCTGGGAGTTGGGAGGAGACGAGATGGCAGCAGATATACGTGTCGCTAGCAGTCTCAGGTAGTTATTCATATCAAGGTTAGATAATTAAGATGACTATTCTAATTGTGTGGACATCTTGTGTATTGAGTATTTGCTAAAATATAAATCCATTGGTTAATCTTAAACATTTAGAGTTTTACTTTACTGGGTTACTGAGAAGTGGGTCCTCCGACAATCGGGTAGTTATGGCTGTGAAGGAACTAGCAGCTCCAGGGATGAGTGAACCAGAGCTGGAAACACAGTGACCGGTCGTCATGGGAGCAAGCTAGAGAACAGCCAGGTGGAATCGGCTAGGCCAGGAGCTAGCCAGACGGTTCCTTTTTTCTAATACCTCCCACAACAACACAACGACAGAATTCTCTCAAAGACACCTTTCTTGGCATCACTGTCATTAACAAGGCATGGTTGTGTGCATACATAAGGACGCAAGTACTATTCTTGCAGCAGGTTGCTTTGAGCATCCTTCCTTGCTACAGAGTAGTCTACAGAGGACAGAGCCTAGACAGAACTCCTTGGAGTTATTTGGAGAGAGAGAGAGAGAGAGAGAGAGAGAGAGAGAGAGAGAGAGAGAG